TGCTTAAGTTTTGATATTCTTGATAAACATTCATGAACATCCACTTATAACCATTATTTTTAAGAATTATTCCTGATACTTCAATGTGGCATTGTTTTATTTATTTCATCCACCATTCCAGCTACCTGATGCTGGAAAGAATCATGACAGTATAATTCCATTTCAAGCCATTTTTTAAATTGATTTAATTTTTAAAATACATGACAGCAGAATACATTACAATTCTTATTACACATATAGAGAACAATTTCTATATGTGTAATAAGAATTGTAATGTATTCTGTATATAAAGTATGTTCACATCAATTCATGTCTTTATACATGTACTTTGGATAATGATGTCCATCACATTCCACCATCATTGCTAACCTCCTGCCCTCTCTCTTCTCCTCCCACCCCTCTGCCCTATCTAGAGTTCATCTACTCCATCTATGCTCTCCCTCCCTACCCCACTATGAGTCAGTCACCTTATATCAGAGAAAACATTTGGCATTTGTCTTTTGGGGCGCTAACTTCACTTAGCATGATATTCTGCAGCTCCATCCATTTACCTGCAAATGTCATGATTTTATTCTCTTTTATTGCTGAGTAATATTCCATTATGTATATACGCCTCATTTTTTTTTTAACCATTCCTCTACTGAAGTGCATCTAGTTGGTTCCACAGTTTAGCCATTGTGAATTGTGCTACATAAACATTGAATGTGGCTGTGTTCCTGCTGTTTTTAAGTCCTTTGGGTATAGACCCAGGAGAGGGATAGCTGGGTCAAATGGTGGTTCCATTCCCAGTTTTCCAAGGAATCTCCATACTGCTTTCCATATTGGCTGCACCAATTTGCAGTCCCACCAGCAAGTTTTTTCTTTATTGGGGCCATTATTTTATTCTTTATCCATTTGGATCAGAAGTGGTGTTCACATAGAAAACAGCATATTAAAATACTCAAAAGTGTGAGGGCTGACTGGGGTCACATTGTGAAAGATCTTGTATGGCATTCTCTAGACTTTGACTTGCTAATAAGTACATTTAAAGCAGAAAAAGGAAAATCAGATTGCGAGTGGATGTCATTGTCACCTTACTATATAGAAAAGGTAGAAGCCTACTGGGTTTTTTATCTTGGGTATATAGTCAAATGGTGCAAAGTTTGTTAGTTTCAGTATTAAACGTTGTTCAAAGCCAGGTAGCAAGCAAGACTTAAGTAGCAAGAGTACTGAAAGAGAGCTTGCATGTGGCAAATATTAGTTGACATTGAGTAATAGAAACCAGATTTTGGTATATATCAAATTCTAAGATTAAATCAAAGATAAGTTTCTATTAAAATAAACTGTTTATGAAGCAACTAAATCAGGGAATCTGATATTTTGGTTATATGTTTCTCCTTAACCTATTATTATTACAAAATACTATTTTATTAAAGCACTTACTGAAAAATAAATATGCATACTTTCCAGTAGTTATATACAGAACATTAATGAAGATTTTTAATTGTTGCTTGAATATTTTCCCTTGATAGAAGATAATATCCCTGAACATTTAAAACTTATATGCAATAAAGTATATATTTGGAAATTATATGTAGCATAGATGCATTCTGATCCCCAGGACACAACCCAGCCCACATATATAGTTTTTATTATTTTTAATAAAATGTGGTCTAGTAGTGTAGGCAGCAGATAAAGTAAAAAGAAAAAAAGTGACCTTATGTACCAGGTTGCCAGGAATAGTCTCAAGTTACACCTATTGTCTGAAATAATTACTTGTAGTACATCCTTTCACACTAAAAGAAAGTATTTTGATCTGAAAAAGAAATGATATCTTCACCCTTTAACACCATGACAAATGACACATAAATCCCAGCTCTGATAAACACTTTCTTCAGTGTTAGCAAGAAAGCTCACTTTGGTGCCTTTATCTATAAAATTGGAAAAAAATAAATTTTACCTTGAAGGGTTGTCATGAGAAATAAATGAAGAGTTAAAACTTCAGGAAAGTGAAACCCATGAAGTTTCACATGGCTCCATGCTAACAAGGTCCCCATGCTTGATTGAATAATCTCTTGAAATTGTTAATAACTTTTTGAAAAAGGGCAGTACATTTCATTTTGCACTGTGCCCTATAATTTAGAAAGTCAATCACAATTAAATGAGAGATACTAACTTAATCTAAATATCTCCTTAATCCTTCCATTTTATTTGAAGACCTGATTTTATTTCACCAAGTCCAAAATTATTTTGGGGACATTTAAACTGTCAGAAATATTAAAATACAGCAAAACATGTTAATTTTAATGTAAAAAGGCAAATATACATTAAATTACACAGCCTAAGCCCAGTGACATTTCTGGCAGAAGGCTCTTACTAATTCACATTTTGAGAATTTAACAATAAATAAGCACTATATTTTTGAAGGGCAATTGAAGTAACTTAATCATTTTATTTTGTTTTCTTTTCCTTGTTTTTTAAAATTCTTTTTAGATATACATGACAGTAATGTATTTTTACATATTACACATACATGGAGTATAACTTATTCTAATTAGGATCACATTTTTGTTGTTGTACATGATAAGTTTCACTGGCCGTGTATTCATATATGCACACAAGAAAGTTATGTCTAATTCATTCTATGTTTGTTTCTATGTTAGGAACTATGTTTTGATCAATTTACCAAAGCTTCTAAATCAATTATAACATCATAGATTATTCTCTAGAAATAGGAAGAGTCCTTTGGCTTTTTATAGATTAATGTATTTCTATACCTGGGATGATTTCTTTACATTGGGGACAGGATAAATATCCCAACCAATTTTTTTTCATTTTTAATTTTTCTAGTACATGTGACAGGATGCATCCACTAATATTTATACTTAAAATATTTATAATAATAACTTTAATTTATTAAGTTCTTATTATATGTCAGCATGACATTAAATGTTCAATATGCATTATCTATTTATATTACCAACACATACACACACACACACATGCACACAAACTCACAAACACACACACACAATCCCTGTGAAGAAGGTATTACTATTTCTATTGCAATAATAAAAATATTGAGGCTTAGAAGAAATAATTTGCCAAGTCAAACAGCTAGGAATAACTAGAGCTTAACTTTGAACCAAAGTCCCTAAACTTTTTAAACCTGAGCTCTCAATGTATCTATATTTTGCATCCAAGAAAATATTTTCAAAACTTCATGATTCTATAAAATAATGTGAAATTTTATAAATAATATAATAAAAATGTGTGTTATGTATCATCTATATGATCTGGATACATTTTCTTCATGTCTCTGTAAGCATATCTAGATTTTAATGATCTAGTGGCAAAAATGAGACAGATTTAAAATGATTCTTTCCGACTAAGTGAAGGATTCATGGCATCATGTAGTACTGTATATAGAAAAGTTTCTCAGTAGTTCAGAAAGGCAGAGTCAAGGTAGAATTGAGTTGTTATATAGTAGTGTAATTAAACAGGTAACAGACTCCAAAAGCATATACTCTGGCAGCTGGTTCCTGAAATATATTTCCAAGGGTGATTTAATTCCAGGGAAATAAAATCTTCTGCCACATTAAATTTATGTCGTTTTTAATTTTATTGTTTTTGCCTTTGTGTTCCTGGATATGTAAACATGTATGGTATTATGACTGTATACCACTGAAAGCATAAAGGCTTATCCTTTTTTTATGTTTTAACATGTTTAAGTAATATTAAATAAAAATAATTTAAATCAATATTGGAAGTCTGTGAGTTCTTTTTCTTTTTCTTTCTTTTAGTTTAAAAAGAATGTGGAGAAATATTGGGTGATATTTCCTCATGTGATTCGTTGGCTACTAGTTTCACAGCATTCATTTTTGTTATTATTTCACACAGTGTTGATATTATACTGACTGCTTGTTCTTGGTCATTTTCATTTCCTCGTTATTCTTTCTTCCTTTGGTCTTATTTTGTTAATGTTTAATTATTTAACAGGTAATACAATTCATTATTCTTTACCTTCTTGTCTACATTCTATAAACATTCACCTAAATCATTATTTTTTCATCTTACTTGGAAAATAATGGCTTGCATTCCTTTCATTTTGGCTAAACCTTTGAAAATATGAATCTTCTTGCACCATGGTTTAGTAATGAAGAAAGTAATTAGGTAAGATAGAAAACTGAATAAGCTGAATTTCTGATCATATTTTGTAATATTGCTACAAGTTCTTTAAGTCATACTAAATTAAAATTAAATTTGAATTAAATTTTTTGAGAAATTCTCATTTCTCCCTAAGTAGTGAGATATTTCCTCAAATTTTGCACAGTGAATTCTACAGGTACTTGTGCTAGAAGGTTAGTAGTACTGTACAATTTGTTATAATGCCTTAATCTAGTCTGCCTTTTAAATTGAAAAGTGACATTTTTCAAAAATGTTCAATTTTTAAAATAACTATTTATTAGTGGATTTTAAATATTTCTATTAGTTTTCAAAGATAATTTAATATTTTCCTTTTTGTCTTTGAAGTTCTTGGATCAGGGGAATGCTGAGTATTGGGAGAACATATGATCAGAAACATTTAAAGATAAAAATAAAAAGATAAAATTAGAGTTGTTTTAAAACAAATTACTCTCTCTACTATTTTCTAATTTAGAAGAATTAAATTATAAATTTAAATGTATTCCTCAGAAATCTGCAAACTCAAAGACACTCTGAAAATCTATTACTTGTATCCTTTGCCATGCTATCCTTTCATCCAAGGGAAAATCATATTTGTAAAATTTATTTTAGATTTCCATTTGTAGACACGTGTTCTTTCCATGAGTAGTAGTGTCTTCTTCTTAAATAATATTTGAGAAGGGAATAAATCATCTACAGCATATATCCACATGTGCATTATTTTTATGTTAGGTTCTAGGTAAAATACAATGCATTTGCACTTCTACACATGAAATTATTTAAAAATAATAATGCATTCTATTTAACTGTACTTCAATATTCTGTTTTACCTGCAGCTGAATGTGGTGCATCTGCAACAAATAATGAAGGAATTTTGCTCTCTCCAAATTATCCACTCAACTATGAAAACAACCATGAATGCATTTATAGTATTCAGGTTCAAGCAGGAAAGGGGATCAATATTTCAGCCAGAACATTTCATTTAGCACAAGGAGATGTTCTTAAGGTAGGTGGACTTACACATTTTTGTATTTTGATCATTTTTACTAAGTACACATTGATAAATATATATATATATATATATATATATATATATATATATATAATAAACCATAAATGGATTTTATCATTCATACATGCATATTATATATCAGTCCACATTTTTATTATTATCTGAATTGAAATAGAATGTTTTCTTTCCAATGTTTATTTATAATAAAAATATAAATTTTATTTTTAATGCATACATTTTCATGTTTCAATAACATCAAAATAAAAAAAAATAAACACGAAATATCTTATTAAATAAATATTATATATAAACATGATTAATGTGAATGGTCATTTCTTTAAGAAACATGATGCTGATTTGTTTTTATTTTTATGTCTATTAAGTAATATCTTTCTCTGTGGATATGTGAAGAATTATTTGCATTTATGCAGTTTCATGAATATTTTAAGCCTAATAAATCAGTGTCTATAAATTTAGAAAAGAATATACTTTGTTAATAATTAATATTTAGTATAAAGCTGGGTATTTAAAATTTTTGAAATAATGAAATGCCATAGTTTTTTAAAAGGTAATATGTTTTTGAAAATCAATATCACCATAGTTGCTGGTTCCTATTTTGCAATGTAAGTGTTTTGGTAACATATAGTTTATATTCAATATTTTAAAAATGAAAATAATTACTTTTATGAAATCACATTTAAAGATTTAAAAGTTATGTATATCTTTCTTAAATGGAAAGATTTTTTTGTTCAAGGTGACACATACAATATACTTCTGTTTTCACTAATCTTGAAAAAAATGATATCTCAGAATGGTTGTGATAGAAGATTCTCATGTAAGCAATAGCTTTAATATTGTTACTTACCTTTAAAAAGTAAAATCATTGGATAATAATTGATGGCTGTTTAAGCCAAACATTACTGTATGTTTATAAGAGTTGTATAGGACTTGGGAAATATTTTCTGCAGTACACTTAAATGTATACAATTTCAATATTAATTAGGACCAATATATATATTCCTGGTTCATGCACATTTTGCACGGTGAAATTCATTATTCAATGTCCTTACACCTCCACTTCATTGGTTGGATTTTCCTTTTAAAATAATGTATATCTGCAAGCTGCAGGAATAGCTCAGTGGTAGAATGCTTTCTTGCCTAGCATGCATGAGGTCCTGGGTTTGATCCCCAGTACTACAAATAAATAATAATAATAAATAATAAACAAAACAAAATAATAATTATAACTTATATTTTATAATTGGAGTCAACATTGAGATTATTGAATTCTTCTATGTAGAAAAGAAGCGTAATTTTTTCTGGCTAGGGGAAAAAAATGTATCAATGTATGCATGAAATGTCTAAGCCAGACCAATAATCTGTATCCCATAAACAACCATGATAAAGTTCAAAGTCAGGAAGTGCTTCCTTACATCTACCACTCCTACATACCACTATCACTACTAAAAAACAAAAACAAAAACAAAAACAATAAATAAATAACTCTCCTTTTGTGATGCTTGAAATTTATTTTCCTATATTATTTTCCTATATTGAATGGTTCTTAATATCTGGAAAATCCATTTGGCATAAGAGATGATGTCTTTTAAAAATAAGATAGTCTTAATGTGTTTTTCAGAGTGCTTTTTTCTTAGGTCTCACTTATTTGAGCAAGTTCATATGCACTTGTCATGGGTGGTACCTTGAGAAGGGCAGAACCTCAATAAATGACAACCTGAGGGAATGTGATGATGAGAAATAAAGCTAGTCTGAAAACAACAACAACAACAACAACAACAAAAAAAAAACTTCAATTTCAGTCTCTTTAGTGGAGTGGTTGCTCAGTATTCCATTCTAGTTTTTCCAACTGTTAGGCCTGTTTGTGTCTTCTAGCTCCTACTCTCAACCTGATTAGAAACACTTTTTAGCTATTTGGTATAGGACACTGAGTTATACCATTATTGCATGTGGCTGGTTCAAGTCTAGTTACCTATTCAGTCACTGGTAGCTATTTCTTTCTTAACTCTTTTCTGGGAATGTGTAAATTTCTATGAGTCATACCACCTTCCTGGGATCCAGATAGAAAGCCAGGTATACAAATTCCTTCTGTTTCTGATTCTTGGGGCTCTAGCATCACTACATGTAACACAGCTAAGAAAAAACATTCTTAGAGACCTAAATTAGACCCTAGGTCTCACTATCTCAGTATATTTCCCAGGCTAGCCTCAAGCTAGCCATCCTCCCACCTCAGTCTCTCAAGGGATTATAGGTGTGTGCCATTGTACCTGGCTATTTATTTTCTTCTTAACTCATCAAGGAAATGTTTTTCTAGGTTGGTTGGAGTCTGAATAGAATGTATTCTTATATTCTTCTTTTAATTTTTTTAAGGTACTGTTGATTGAGTCCAGAGGCACTCTAGCATTTAGCTGAATCCCCTAGCATTTTAATATTTTAATTTTGAGACAGGGTCTCAATATATTCCTCCACAATAAATTGTTGAGGCTGGCCTTGAACTTTCAATTCTTCTCCCTCAACATCCTAAGTAGCTGGGATTACAGGTGTGCACCACTGCACCTGGCTTGTATTCTATTCTCAATGGTCATACGTTTAATATGTAATTTAATTCTTTCAGTTAAGAGTCATAGAAAGTATTTGTTTTATCTAGGGTTTAAGCAATCAAAACTGAATAGTTTCCATCGTCAGCCTGGAAGGATGAAAGCTGAATACCAGTCAGAAATATTAGTTCTGATTGTTGTTGTTGTTGTTGTGTTTGTTTTTATTTTCAAACAAAGATTAAGCACTATGTTTAGATGAAAGAATATAGCAGGGACAAAATCTGAGACAATCCTTTTTACAATAGCTAGCCTTCACAAAGACTTATTTCTTGGGTCCAGGGTTGTAGATCAGTGGAAGAACACTTGCTTAGTATTCTAGAGACCCTGGTTAGATTCCCAGCACTGCAGAAACAAACACAAACTTATTTCTTAGCTAGATACCATGGTGCATGCCTGAAATCCCAGCTCCTTTGGAGGCTGAAGCAAGTGGATTGCAAGTTTGAGATCAGCCTGGGCAATGAGATATGTCTCAAAATAAAATAAAAAGAGTTGGAATATGTCTCAGATATGGAATGTTCCTGGGTTTTTTCACAGTACTAACTATACACAAAGCAAACAAACAAAACAACTTATTTCTTACATGATATATAGAGCATAAATGATTGTGGAGAAAAGCCAGCATAGTACCTCAAAACTGGTGTTTGATATTTTGTGGGAAAAGGGGGCAGGGGTTTTGATGCCATATTAATGAAAAATTAGATAGTTGAATTACCTGGCCAATAATACTCTTTTAGTGATATGATAAGGGATAATTACCTCTTATTGCATTCTGTGATACATCTTGACTATACAGGCATCTGAAGAAATCTTCAGGCACAGAGAAGACCTCTATTCAGACCTTCTATGTTCTTAACCATTTTGCAGAAAATAATTTAAGGACACATTAGGTATGAATAGAAAAGTAAGAAATTATTACAAAGGGAAAGTATACACTCCAAAATGGGAGTATGGCACATCTCAAAGAGTGGGTCACCTAGTCTTTCCCTGGGTTTTTAACATTTATGGAAGGACAGTAGCTAGAGGCTGACCTAGAGGTGGAGTGTGCGCAGGGTCATGCAATTGCATGTGAGCTGTCCTTGCAATTGCTCATTGCTCTGGCTTGTTCTTATTTTGCACTTCCTCCATTGGATTTCTCATTAATATCTTAAATTTTCACTCAGGGGTGCATCTGACTATAATGATGAGGTTAAGGTCACTTCTTGGTCATCAAAGCTTTTAATGTACACAGTCCCTAATTGAGCAGTTCTTTCAGATGACTTGTGATTATCTTGTGGTTTTGTTACCCTTTCATCAACCAGTAGGAAAAGCTGCAAGCAAGTAAATAGGATCAAGGACACAGACTGGGTTGCTCATGAGCAGTTTCTTCTACACTCCAACAGTTTATGATGTTTCTCTTTTGAGACTTAGTGTTCTTGCTATATTCCTGAATTGCTATCTCAACATGATTTCAAGTTTCTTTCCTAGATGTGTTTGAGAGTTTGAGATTTGCATTTGTAAGGCCCTGTGGTTAAATTTTAAGAGCTTATTGTAAAATGTTACTCTTTCTAAACTTTCATTATATAACAAATCAGATTGTAATAAAATTATAATTGTTATAATGAAAAGTAAAAACATAACCTTTCATTTCTTAACTATTTTACTAGTGTTTTAGAGATACTGGATAAAAATTTACATTTACATTGTTTTGGACAAAACTCCTGTAGTAAGCTTCAATAGATCAAGTGAAAAAATCAAAATCGAGTCACTCATGCTGAAGTTCCAAATCACCAAGCTGAAACAAAGCTGTTTATATGAACTTGTGGAAAATCAGGATTAGAGATAACAACCAAATTTCCCAAACAAGCAAGGATCAATTGGCATGATAATGAAATTCCCAGTTTTAATCCTTACACAAAAGAAGTTACCTGAGATAACCTGATGTTAACTAATCTTATTTTCCTATTGTTCAATCTCCCTGTCCCAACTCAGAAAGAAAGTGACTTGAAAATGACAGATCTGTTGGTTTTTTTTTTCTTTTGTTTCTGTTTTCTTCAGTCTTTCTCTGTCTACAAACCAGCCTTCTCTGCTGAGTGCATCAGAATTCTTACTCTGTAGTGAAATGCTGTCTGAGTCTGGAATAGAAAATAAAACCTATAAGATAGTTAAAATTATTGTGATTTTTATTCTTTGATAGAGTACATTTATTGGATCACAATAATGAAAATATCATGGCATGGTTTATCTCTTTCCAACCCTACATTAAATGATAATCACATCGATACCTTGATATTGGCCATGGTGTAGCCACATAACAGAAATCAACAAACACTACAAATTATGGTTGTATTTATTTTTTTATTCCTTATGTATATTTAAATATAAATAGGTTGTATCTGTAGC